TCTTTTTCATGCACACATAACACAATAACATTGAATGCATGTTACTTTTCCTCTGCAGCTTATTGCAGTCCTTGTGGAAAAGCCTTTCAAACAATCTTGCGACAAGTGTTGTAGGGTGCTGAACCTGGTGATGCTCAAGCAAGTGGTGTAGGAACCATCCTGCAGGCTGGTTTCAGACTTGTGCTTGTTATTGTACATATTTGTATAGCTCTGAGGAGAGGCATCAAAACTGGGTCACAAATGTCCTGGGCTGGAGGCTTTCCCGGTGTGCGTAAGCCAAATGCCTCTGCTTAGTAGCAAACTCTGCACATTCTCTTTGGATTTGCAACTCTAAACTTGTGCTTCTGTGTTCAGTGTGTTGCTGTTCGAGTTAAACAGTGCAGTTCTCAGCATGGTGTCTGGAAACGAGTCTTGAAGCATTGGCATAACACTCCTGTGCACTTTGACAGCAGCAAGCCAGATACTGGTGTGAGGCAGCAGAAAGGCTTGCCGTGAAAGCCCAGTCAATGAATGAACTCGTAAAGCTCAGGACTTATGCCACTTCCTGGAGTTATGCCTCTAATTGAGGTTACAAATTAACAGGTTTATGGAACGCATGCTCGAATTCACAACCAAATCGGAAGAAAGCAGTTAGAGCTGCCTGCAAATGTTTGCTCGTGTAGCACAGTTAAGCTGAAAACTGTTCAACTCGTTGATGTCTGTAGCTGAATAAGTAATGCTGACCCTGTGTAAGTGCAGGAAACCTGCCTTCCAATTCCTTTGTTAAGGACACAAATGAAACAAAAGACTAAACTGGTTTGTGAGTTGTGTTACCATCTTTTACAAGTAATTGGCGTGATTGTCTCTGACTTTGTTCTAAATCTTATCTCCCAGGTCAAATACCTATACCTAATTTCTGTGGTTTTAGTTTCAGGGCCTGCCTTAGACTGTAGTAATGCTGAGTTCCCCTGGGTCTCTTTGAGTAACAAGCAGTATTTCACTACAGAACAAGTTTCTTCTCTTGGCTTTCTGTAGGGGTGGGCTAACAGCACAACTGTGCTGGCTGTACAGCAGAGTGAAGCTGGCTAGTCGTGCCTTGTTACTGTGTATTAAGCTCCAACAAGCTGAGTATTTGTGGGTTTAGGCTGACTGCCACACAGTTCTAGACTGGGAAGAAGCAAGTCTTATACACATGCATTCTCTGCATTTGAACTTAAGTTGCATGAGTGAATGGGTTTGGAAAGTGAAATCTGGAGGCTCAAGTGACATGTCGGATGCTATTGCAGTCTGCCGTATACAAACACCAACCTCACGTTCCTTTGCCTCAACGTTCTGTTCAGGGAAACTTCTCCAGGTCTGGGCATTATGTTAGCAATTGCTCCGACACCAAGGGTCTTCAACTGACACTCTGCTAAAATCTGAGCTTGCCCTAATGCTGTTGGTTTGAGGCGGTTGGAGCAGCAGTGACTGGGCTTACTGATGTCAAAGGAGCTCTAGTCCAATATGGGACCTCTCATACAAAGCTTCAGCCTGGAGTGAGCTTTCAAAGAAGTTCCACAAATCCCTCAATTAGGAGTTTTTTCAGGAAACGGACAATCTTGACTGCACCAGTACCAACATTGCTACTTGAATTGATCTTAACTTGTAAATGGTCTCCTTTTTCTTGATGGGTGTTAACATACCACTAAGGCTTTTCCACTTCTCTGCCATGAGTAAGTACCTCTTTTAGAGAAGTTTTTTAATTGTTGGTCTCAATTCCAGGTGGATAAACTGGACGCCTCAGAGTCTTTGAGAAAGGAAGAGGAGCAAGCTACAGAAACACAACCTATTGTTTATGGTAATGCTTTAGTTCGTGTGTTGTCAGTAACACATCTTGCTTTTAAATCAGCGCTTCTCTGGATTTGTGTTTTTCCCAGGGCAGTCCTTGGAAATGGGAACATTCTTCACGTGAAGTCGGGTCTCGAGGGCACGTGTTCCAAAGCACTAGATAAAGCGCAACTCTTAAGGCTGCTGCTGAGATTAGATATCGGACTGCAGGATTAGAGACTGTCTAGTCTCTAATCTAGCTCATACTAGGGAGTTGCTGTTAAGCATACAAATTCTGCCGACTGAACTCTCGGTACCGAGGAATAAAGATGAAACCCTTCTGTCTTCCAGGTCAGCCACAGCTCATGTTGACAGCAGGACCCAGTGTCGCAGTTCCTCCACAAGCACCTTTTGGCTACGGCTACACTGCGCCTCCGTACGGGCAGCCGCAGCCTGGCTTTGGGTACAGCATGTAAGATGCAGCACAAGTCAGTTTGGAGCTAGCGTATTTTCTTACTGAAACTCCACCGTCCCTCCCCGCTTTAACTCATAACAGGGAAAAGCAAGAGTTCTGCCTCGTGTTCTTGTAACCTTTATTTCATGAAGGACTGTTTTTTCTAGCGCAAACTATTTGAATCACTTATGTTAAATCTTTTTCACATTCCATGTCATTTAGACTTTACTTTAAAAGGGGAATAGTTTAAACGACTTTGTTCAAGTGGGCTTTTGCAGGACTGCTTATTACCATTAAGTCTATTGTGAAGATTCTGATTTGCACTCTATAGTGTTAAACTCTAATATTGAATCCTAAGTTCATTGTATGTGAGCAGCTTACAGTATGTACTGTCTATTCTAAACGCATTTAAGTCTCACTGTATATTCGGAGAAAGCTAAAGCGAAGATACTTGTATTTGACCTTGCAAGACTGCTGACAAGAGACAACACTAATCAGCATATCCTACCCTGGGTGGATTGCATAGCTCTAAAAGAATTTAAAATGCGTACAGACAACCTTGCCTGACTTAAAATGAGTAATTTTTTTTTTTTTCCTTAACCTATGCAGGTTTTTCCAGTTATGCATATAGAAAATGCTAGTGTCTTTTTGCTCACTCCATATGTAACAGATGACCTTATGTTGTGCTGTATCCTGTGCTTTTGTGGGACATTCCATTCAGGAACAGAGCACCATGATTCCAATCTGTGTATTTACTAACCCTGCCCTGAGGTTTGTGTATGTTGGATATTGTGGTGTTTTAGATCACTGTTTTGAGTGTACAGAAGAGAGAATTCAAGCATATTGCTGTTCAGTTTTGTTTGTGCAATTTGAAATTACTCAATTGAAAAATAAATTACTGGACTGTGGACATGCTGCATAGTGGTAGCTTCACTTTACTGTCTTCGAAAAGGACCTTCAACCTCCAACCAAGTATTACAGCGCTAGTGGCGTGGGGCGTGCAAGGGCATACACACGGGTGCGAGGGGCCATGAGGACAGCAGCAATGGGGACCGCTAGTGCTGTCCGGCACTGAGGGGGCAATACAGGCAAACATGTAATGTTTTTTCTACAGAAAGATTATGCCAGAGAGAAGAAAATAGCACTTTTGAAAAGTTGGCCACACTGTGGTCGACTACAACATATTTGACCAGATGATACTTTAGGATTGTAGTAGGGTGTGTCAGTTAAATCGAGATCATGTTCTAGGGTATGTAAGTTGCCTTAAATATATCTAGCTTCGAATAAAGTTGACTTAAATGTTTCTCTATGAATACTGTCATATTTGAGAGTAACGAGTGTTACAGCACTGGCCGTAGTAGTGATAGTTGTAGGAGTTCCTGTCTCTTAACCAGGAGCTGTCCTCAGTGCCAGGTTCCAGCTCTGAGGCTGAATCCTCTTCCTGCATGTTCCTGTGAACTCCGCAGCTGCCTGCACGTGAGCACTGCAGTGGGTCTGTGTGCAGCGAGGGCTGGCTGTGGGCATCTGGAGGTGTTTAACCTGCCACAGGCTCTAGGTCTTTGTTCAACAGTGTGGTGGAGCAAATGTTTGCGGTGAGCAATGTCAGTCTTTCAAAAGTATTATGCCTAAATAAGAGGTGCGGTATAAAAACTTCTCCATTTGCTGTGTTTATTATACGTGCTACCGCTTGCATGTCAGTGGTTCTGATGTTCCCTCTGCATCTGTGAAGTGGACTGATGGAGACAAATCCTTCTCTTGCCTCTTTTACAACTTAGTTCATAGGTACTCAACTGGACCCTGTAAATTCAACAGCAGACTTCTCACAAAACAGCTTTGTTACAAACCTGACTCTTAGAAAGCCCCCCTAATTAGAAGTGCGGGAACTTGCCTTTAGTGTTGGAGCTACACTGGAGCTGCAAGGCTAGAATTTAGACGAGCCACCGTGCACTGACCTCTGCCCAGTACCATCTGTACGAGTGCTTCTTTAAACCCACAAGGACCTGTTAATCCTGAATAAAACAGAGTCTAAGTTAGTCCCTGTATGCCAAGCTGGTTTTATGTAGGGTGAGTCCTTGTACCTCAGCTAAACTGGGCATGCCGACCTGCCTGCAGGTCCCTGCAAGTAGTGACACGGCAGCATGGAGCCTGGCTTACAGCTGTTCCCCACAGCTGCGGACTGGCTCTTCAGGTCCAGGCGGCAAAGCTGGATGAGCTCGGTCGGTCTCATACCAGTTACAAGCTGTTGCATCAGGTTACTACTCTGCCAGAAACTGTTTGTGCAGGAAGTTGGCTACAGCCGCATGGGGCAGTTTTTAACTGCCTTAGTAGTTGTTCTTTTCAGAATTAGAGAATGTATCTCTTTAAAAAAAAAAAACACCTCCCTGCAAGACAGAGAGGGGGAACCTGTCATTTTTAAGGCATAGGACAAATCCACTTAAACTTTATTAATGCTTCTGTTTAGCCAGTATATCAGACAAAGTGCCAACTCTTCAATTAATTGCACACGTCTTGAACATACTGGGTTCATTCTTATGGGTAGTAAAATTGCAATAGTTCTGTTTTCTTCAACTCCACTGAGCCTAGCGTTTTCCTTCCCATCCTAGAACACAAAACAGAAGGTAGAGAAACTCAACATTTTCAAGTTTAAATCTCTTACAAAAATTGGTTATTTTATTTATATCAACAACATATGGAAAGATCCCCAAACCTGGGGTTTATCCCTTCAGTACACCAATGCAGTCAGATTCCTTTGGTCCCCAGTTCAGTAAAGTTTTAGGTGACCAGAAACTTTATCTACTACATCAGCTGGTCCTGGTCCTATACCGAGGACTGTCTGGGAGCCTGGAGCTATCTGAGTACGACCCGCGTCTTGTATTAAGCTCACAGTCAGTCCGAGGCGTTTCGCCTCAGCCAGGAGCTGGATCAGCGTCTCTTCGTCAGGAGCTTTGAGGACCACTTTAGGTTGCCCGCAGTACTCCCACTGTTTCAGGAGTTCGGGATTTCTTCTCTGCACTTGCTTGTAGGCAGACACAGCGGCATGGGAACACTGTGCTGCCACTTTACCCTTCCCCATCTTCAAATCGTTGCGGACGACCAGCACCATCTTGAACTCCCCGGACTCTCCCATGACGTTCGTTTCGCTGCCCAGGTTGTTGGCGGGGGATCTGGGCCGCCTCAGAAGTCTCCCGCGAATGCCCCATCCCAGGCACACGCCGCAGGCGACGCCAGCGATGACGCTGAGGAGCCCGGGTTTGGAGAGAGAATCCATGGTGGGTTTGGGAGAGTGGCTACGGAAAGGAGGGAAA